GAAAGCAGCCGGTGACCAGAGGGTATTCGTACTGTCTGACCCTAGGAAGAGCATGTCGTCCATTGAAAGGTTGAACGACCAGTCGTTACTTTGTTTTCAGAATTGTTCAGTATACTGATGATCGTTGACTGGTGGCAGTCTTGGGGCGACTATAACGACTGGCGCGGTGAAGACGTCATCGAAATTACTGATAACATTGTGTCAATAATACTTTACCTGAGGCTGGCGTCTTCTGAGACCAATAAGCGACGAACGTTCTGGACGGCTTCGTAGTATGAAATCTTCAGGTTACGATGGCAAATTCGTATTGATGCGACAACGGACTGCGTACTATCGTTCTATGTATATTCGGAACATGTTCGTCGGTACATGAGTTATCGGCTAACCAACTTCTGCTTCGGACTGTTGCTGTATTTCGAAACGATCCGGTGTCTGTTACTCGTGTTAAGTTGCGGCATACGCACCCTTGTGAACGCATCTGGTAACGAATGTCCGTACTGTATTTGTTGGAGAAATGCAATGGTGTCTGAATTTGTGGTAATGAAGATGTATGTCATGCAAATGTTGGCCTCGTTGACTGCCAGTCGAAACTGCCATTATTTGACTGAAGTGTAATGGATTATGAAGACTTGTTTATCTGCGGCCTTCTGGCTGGTGTTTTGTGAATTATATTGCGGTTCAACAACTTCAAACATCTCATAAAATTCGGGGGTCGAACTTTTGTTTCGTTTTATTATTATTCGCCAAGGTAATTTGAACGGTACGCTTATGAACGCCGATCCAAATTTAATATTACGCTATTCGGTGGCGAATAATATCAGAATGGCGGCAATTGATAAACGTAACCGGTTTTGGATGTCCCGACATGCCATCGACTTCCAACTTTCAATAACAAACCCGCGAAGGTATTACGTGACATGCACACGGTATCAACATATTATGTTTAATAGCCGGTATTGGCAATTTTGTCGATTTTATCATGTTTGGCGTAAAGGTTGAGTGAGTCCGCTGTTGATGACTTGAACATCTCATAACTTCGTCCTATAAAGATTCTGAAACTGATCTCATCAGTTTGTTCAACAAAGCTTCAATTGATGATTCATTAATTCTGTTGAAGTTGTAATGAATGGGCTGGCACAGCATGTTCCATGCTTATCTTTCAAATGTGTGCTGTGCGTGAATCAAATACTGTGACTTTATGTCTGATTTCTATGAATTAATTTTACGATATAGTGAACGTAACATGGAATTCTTGTGAAATGATGCGATGTTGGTTACTGTGTTTGACAAAGGAAATTCGACGGTATTTGTCCGGAAGCCTCGCGTCTTTGACTTTAACACAACTATTCTACTGTTGAAGTGCATGAATTTCGTGAATACCCGTTACCTAACACCGTTAATGAACAGATGTTTGTTGATGATTAATTGGAGATGTACTATTTCCTGTTTCCCTTATTATTGAACGGTTGTACCACCTTCAATAACTATGCGATGAAGGCTTTGGTGTTTGCTGAGCATGATTGGTGAAAATTTGATGTTTCATCTGACATGACTATGTTTGGTGTTTGCTTACCATGTTTTCGATGAAACCGGAGGTCGCTGCTCGGCGCCTGGAATCGCTGACGCCGCAACCATCTTTATTCGGAAGACGGTGTTCACGCCTGAAGTTGAAACGAGGCTAATCACGGTGGCTGAATATTGTTGTTCGGCTGTTAAAGGTAGCTATCGGTGAAGAAGATGGCGAGTGTGCTGTCATATTGCGGCGTTATCGCTCTTCGATTTTTATTGCGAGGTTTCTTCCGTAATTGCAGCGATCGGTACGATTTATGATGTGTTGTGTGCCATTTCTTGTAATGAACTGCGGACAATACATCAAACAGGCTGATATACTCTCGTACCTTTTGCGTGTTTTACCAGCATCATTAATATTGCGTATATCTCGGGACGGTACCAATATGAATTAATGAATGGAACAGACTAAACCTTTGTCGCTTCGACAAATCGCTCTCGACGTATTACCGTGCGTATACGATGATGTGACTTCGATGCGGTGTCTCGCAGCCGAATTATGAAAGGCTTCGGTCTTCTTCATGACCGGAAGTGTTGTTGCTGCTTTGGAATGGGATTCTGATAAACGCTAGATCCGCTAACGAGGACATGGTTTTAACGAAATCTTTCGGTTAGTATTTGTGGTTCAAGCGAATTGTTTAAGGAGATACGTATTGCGCTACGATATGTATTATTGATGCTCGGTATGTTACCGGATGATATTAAATATTGCTTTTAATGATCGTGTTATGTATTGTTTTTGTCTGGGTACTCAAGCAATGTTAGGCAAATTTTGATTTTACGATTACGAACGCGCTCATAACAACGATCTTATCGCCTGGTGTAATGAACTATGAAACGCTGATGAGGAGCTCACTTCGATGGCCTGTCTCACTTACAACCGTAGTTGATATTGACCGGCTGAATTTGTTTCAGGTGGGACTCTGGCTGAAGTCCTTGACAGCGATATGGCATCGTAATGAGACGGACGTTCTGAACTTCCTTACTATCTCGATTTATGCATTACGGTGGTTGATCATTTGGTATCTATTATGACCAATCGTTTTTATGTTCCATCGCGTAGAACGAGTGACTGGAATATGATAAGGACGTGGCCTAAGTGAGCTGATGATCAACGAAATCGAACAGAGATTGATTATATCGTTGATGGGTAGGTTGATGTTTGTTTTCTGTTTGAACTGTCGTGTATTGTCAAACGTACAGTCGGTTAATGATGTGGCGGAAACATACAACAAAACGGAATCGGAATATCGAAGGTTGTTAATTTTAGTAAATGAACCAATTCGATTGAAATCGATGAAACGGTACGAAGTCGTATTATGTATTGCTATGCTTATTGTTCATATTGTATTCTGATGGCTGGCTTTTACTCGAATATTCGATTGTAACATTCGAAGAAGATGAATCAAAATCCCGGCGAGGGCCGTGCGTTTCTTGGTCACCGTGGTCCCCAGTATGATGTTGTATCTACGGTTGTTGACGATCTATATTGGAACATATGTTGTGATGCATGCAGACTGAACTTTGCGCGCTCACTGAGCCGAAGCGTCGTGGACGTTGTTTCTATGGTGGCGCGATATCGACGGGCTGATAGGTGTTTTACGTATGGTGCGCATGATAATAGGCCTGTACCAATGGCACCAGAGCAATCAATATTGATGATGTTGAGTTTGTTGCCGTTGCACACGAACATGTCTTGGATATGAACTGAAACTACGGTGATAGGTACGCTCGGTACTGGTCAGACGGTGACGCGCATTCTTGATATTATTCTCACCGTGTGGTGCGACACGTAGTGACCGGATAATCGATTTCGACGGCTTCCCCGGTGTACCGCGATCTCGATACCGCAGGCAAATTAGCCCACGATCTGAAACGGCGTTTCGGTTGATTGAACGTTTTTACTCGATGACGCCGCCGCTAAAATGTTCACTCTTGACGGTACTGATCCAGGGTGATTAGTGGCGTGTTCGCGATAGTAGTTGTTCGAGGTTCGCTTTCGTGTAGTAGGCGATATGACGACGGGGCTTATAATTGATCGTGATGAAACGGGTCTGTAATGACCCCGTCGTTTTGCTACGGAATTGAGGAAGATGACAAACTTTCGATGGATGACATGCGTTTAAAGGCGGTATTTTGGAGGTGGCTAACGCGGACATGGCTATGACGAGACGGTAACTACGTTTTTGACAGTAAGTCGAGATTACGCTTATTATGAAAGTTGATTTCCACAGTTGAGGCGCGACGATGCAACTTTCGAAATTATTAACTGCGTGTGATCGGTTACGTGTATGGTGAAATGAACGAAACCGAGATGGCGTATTCGTGCGATCATCATGAATGGTACGTCGAATGCACAGGCCGTTATGTCAGATCGGTGACCAGGAACTATGACGGAACAAGGTATGTGTGAATCGTTGAGCATTACGCGCTTTCATGGATCCTTTGAGGAAAGGAGGAACTGATGAAATCTTCCTGCTGTCGAAGTTTCGAGACTTTGGATGGCTCGTATTTTGGTGCGAACGGATACATGAATATTTCCAGGTGAGTATGTTGGATATGACCAATTATTCGAAGTGTTAACAACAGAATATACTCGAGCGAACTAACGAAGCGCCTGTGAATCCGGGCGATGTCTTGTCTGGAATCTGTTGATGACTGGTGCTCGCGGCTTCGGCATGGTGCAATCTGACGTAATTTGCATTTTCGGAATGAAAATAAAGGTACTTTCGGTGAATCCAGATGTTTGCCCTTCTTCGGCATTTTATTCTGCAAATATTGTGATGGTCGAGATAAATCGGTGTTAACGAATTTCATCTGAAGAGGTATTGAATGGAGTACTTTTAGGTCAATGGATGCCACAAAGAGAGATAACGTTAGTGGCATTTTGAACTGGTAATTAATACGCATCTACTGGTGACGCGAAACTCTTGAGCGAACGCTTTCCCGTGAAACTGTTTTACATTGACGGATGACTTTCTGGACTTTCAGTTCAAAGTATGGATGGCTCTTTCAGCGAGGAATATTTCGCACGGTCGATAACATGGTCTCGAACCCGGTATAACTGGAAACAGCTGGCTAACTTTCCTGTTGATCTAGTACAATTGAAGGCCAAAATGAAGTCTGCGAATTTTTGAGCTCAGATTTGAAATGTCTTAACAATGAAATGGTTGTTGACGTATGAAGTGATTCTGTAATAATTAACCGCAGATCATCTGCCGATTGTTTCGGAAATGGAGACGACGTACTGATAGATCTATTATTTATTGTTGCCGAAGAACAGTTGAAGTTGACATGCCGAAAATAAATATTGGTTGTTGAACGAATATCTTTTGATCTTATAATCTCGTTTCCGGCTTTCTTCGTTGCTGTTTGGACGACTCCGGGCTAAATCCTGATAATTACCGTGAAAGGGTCCTTCATCTGACGAAATGACGGTATCTCCTTCATCATCGGCCTTCAGTATTATTGAGAACGAGGGTGGTGTTATCTCGTCGTACGCTGGTGGCATCGGGTACTATTTGGATGCGGATAGTCGCATGCATGAAATGATGAATCATTCTGTTTCGTTGACATGAAGCTTTATCGCCGGTGGTGTTATGCTTGATGAGGAAGGAAAATAACGATAATCTGCTTCTATAAAACTCTAAAGATGGCGGAATGTAACAAACTGTCAATATAATATTTCAGCAATACTGACGTGAATAGGCCATGTATGTTTGATGGTGTAAAGATATCCTATTCTGACGTCATTTACGAAATGAGCCCCGGTGCATTTTTTCATATGCGCCAATACGTTATGGTATATTAATAACGCGGTCTGTCGATCTTTAACATGCTACCAGTTTGCGCTTATCAACTGATAACGTTAGCTGCCGTTGAACGCGAATGAAATGAGTCTGTTGGACTATGATGATGCGTCTTGGTCATGAGGTATTTTCTAATGGTATACGGGATCTCCATAATGATGACGATCCGGTCTATTGAAGTAACGGACTGTGTTACAAACAACTATTGGGTTGTCCGTATCATTTCATTGTGATGCTCCATTCAGATGGCGTTGAGGATCCATGTTGATCAGACATGCAACTTCGAGCAGATGGCAGAACTGAATCGTCGCTTGATACGCAATGTTATTGACGGGCATGAAGGTTTCAGATCGAGATGAACAAAGACCTTCTGCGGATTACTCCGCCAGTTGTCGGCGATATTTCGCGTCGGCGTTAATTTAAAGGATGAAGTGTGCGTTGATGAACGAAGGCATAGTTGGTTCAGGCTTCTTTGGGCGACAAACAATGCGCAAATTCGTATTAATGAATTAACGACTTCCTGAAGACGTTTCAACGGCGACGATATCGCAAATGATATACGACGAACGTCAATACGGCATGCTCGCTTCGCTAACCAGATATTGATACTAGTATATGCGGTTTTTGACGACGATGGTCGAATGACTCATCAATGGTGAACTGTAGTACTTCATACGACCGATTGATATTGATGACGGTGATGAGATTACAATGGAAGGTTATGAAGTAATACGTGGGCTGAACAGTCGGTACAATGCGTGAAAGGATGTGCGGTAATTAAAAAATACGGTAGCGTCATTTATGTATTGCAATAAGTCTGCATGTCTTTGGTACGGACCTTTTAAATGGACGATAACTTTAATCTGACAATGCTGGCTGAAAATACTGTGTAAATGAGTTAGCGGTACCAGTGGCCATACTGCATTGAACGAGCTTAACGATGTCAAATAATGCTCGTCATTTAAACCCGGCTGACTGTTTGATGAATGTGTTTATGGTGAAGTGCTTTCACTGCTGCCAACTCAATATGGGCTGACCGAATCAGGTAGTCTCCAATTACTTCATCTTTATCGGTGAAATTAAAGATCTTTACTGTCAAATATGCTATTTTCGGTCTTAATGTAGCTTTGTCGAATCAAACGCATTGCAACACGATACGAACGCTTTAACCGCGGTGTACTGTCATTCATTGATACTGTTGACATTTATTAACATTCGAATTGAACCCGGTTTTGTCATACATATATCGCTTCGATGTTGATGACATGATCTGCCTCACTGATGAACTGAAAGTGAATAAATAATGATTTTGCGATCTTTATCAATTTTCGTTGATCTGGTAACGGCACAGGTTTCTGTTTCCTGAAAATTCTGTCGAAGGCACCGGTTCGCCAAACTTTATTAAACATGCGAATATTGCATTTCGTACTGATGAACTATGAGTATATTATATTCCGTGATGAATACCAAAATGAATTAACATCGTTATATATTAACTATCAACAAGTCAGACGGCAAAAAGCAAAATAAAATGCATGTTTATAATGACGATAGAGCTAACTGGTCATGTTGAAATACGGTACTGATCCTAGGTATGAAGATGGCTGAAATGAGTCTAATATAGATTATGAATGGTATCACCTGACTACTGTTTTAGTCTACCCGAAAGATGAAGCAAAACTATGTCTATTCCGTCATATTGAAGAATAGCGTCGTGAAACTGTATTCGAATCAAGATGTCACCAATGTCATCATTCATTGCAAAGTATTGCCGGAAATCATTAATACATTGTAATCATCTTTTATGAAAGTATGAATAATGGTTTGTTCGGTGCTCGGTCGAATGTACAGAGCGTGGGGACCTGACCTGTTCTTATTATTGGTACATTCGTCTAGATTGTGTTTTTGTATTAGCAGTCCTTTAATATGGCACAAAAGTGTTACTTAAGGTCGATTATTTAGCTTTGTTATCTGTTCCGTTACACAAAAGTATGAAATGATATTGCCTGTTGATCGAGAAAACCCATGACCGCACGCCACCTACCACCCGCCCTTGACACCCAATGCCACGCCCTGCCTCGCGCACCGCTCCCCAGCTGTACATCGCTCTGAACGAACCTTTTAAACGAAGACGCCGTATTGGCAATAAAGAAGATTTTACTACACCGTTATTAGTCGGTCATGATATCACTTCGCCATGTTAATTATCTCGGTGACAATGATTTCGAACAACCGACTTTATGTGTTTGGTTACCGCACGGCACCGTTGAAACCATGTTGAAAACCAGTGCTTTAATCTTTAACGACACTATACTTGCATTCCAACCATTACGCATCAAAATATGTGACAAAACCCTAACCTGATTGCTACGGGTGAGGCGATGGCTACAATCACGGCGTTGCATTGCACGTAATGAAACACGCGAAGTATTATTGAATTACACGCTATTGAAATATAATGCAGTGAGGACACTGGATTTGTTACAACGCCGCTGGCGTGTGTAGGTATCTGACGGCGAATGATGCGGCACGTTAACAATTTCTGACGTTCAGCTCAGAACTGGCATTTTATTATTGATGAAACAGGAAGGAAGAGGGCAAACAAAGAGGAAGTGAAGAGAGGAGAGGCGCGAACGAACAAGGAAAGGAAGGAACTATGAGGAGGAAGAGAAGCAGAGAAGACAAACGAAGGAAGAAGACGAAGTGCTGTAAAGAAGTGAAGAAGCTCAAAGGAAGGCTTGGTGGGCTGAAGAAGAAGGCCGCAAACAAGGGAAGAGAAGAGAAGAGGAAAACCGAAGACGAAGGAACTATGAAAGGAAGTGAAGAAGAAGGAACTGAAGATGAACGACAGAAGAAGATGAATCGCAAACAAAGGAAGAAGGAAGGAAGGCGAAATGAACTGGAACGGAAGAGGAAAGTTGCAAACGAGATGAAGAAGAAGAGGAAGAACGAAGTTTATGATGCGAAGAAGAAGAAGGAAGGAAGACACTGCAAACAGAGAAGAGCGAAGGCAAAGACGGAAAGGAAGACTAAGGAAGAGAGAGGAAGAGGAGAACGAAGATGAACGAAGACGAAGAGGAACGCAAACAAAGGAGGAAGTGAAGAGGGGAAGGTGTCATTAATTGATAACATTGTTCCGGAAATGGTATACTGTTGTAATGGTCGGTCGGTGGTTGTGGTGATAACAGACGAAGTTCTGGGGGCTTACGGTACTACCGCCGTGCTCAGAGCAGTTTCCCGCCTGTTCCGAGGCCGATCTTTACCGGAGACCAACTTCTTGCCTTTCATCTCACATTTCATCTCGCTGGAAAGGGGTGACGTGATTTACCCTGAATACTCATTATGTTTAAAACTTCACCCATTGTTGCGGTAAAGGTGGACGTATTACCACCTCTGACTTATCATCCGCTTTCAATTTGGCTATACTGACTCTGGTACTACTGCCCATTGCTACCCTTTCTACCTTTATGTGTTGTCTTCATTGTAAACAGCCAATTACCCGGATACATTTGTTAATAATATCATTGCCATTTTATTTGTTTGTTGTTTCGCAGCGACCACGGCTTTATATTTCGTTTTAACAGCGAATTATTTCAAATTTGTGCGTGAACATCCTGTGTCGATGACGCAGAAGAAGAGGTATTACATTGATATGCTTCTTCTTCGTTATATAGGTTCTTTCTGCTAACACGATTTCTTTCGATTCTTTACTCAACTAACCGTTGTTTACGCTGAACTCGTATTTGTTACCGATTACCATGAAACCGTGTTTTACTGCTGATTACGACTGAATCAAACAATCTTCGTTTATACTGGTAATAAGATTAAAGAGGCGACCAGGTACTTGACGATAATGATCTGCTATACGAACGGTAAAACACTTGTCGTATGGAGTCTGGTTTCCGGATGTGACCTGTGCGCGATAATTTTCGAATTCTTCAATACATGGCGATTCTCTGAAGTTGGTAACGAACGTTAACTCCGACTTGTCAAATGAACCACAAACTTAAGGCGAAGACGTATACTTTCATGACGTATTTAACGAAAACGACATGATAACCATAGATACTGCGTAGTTCCATTCCGTCTGTCCTCGCTTCTATTCCTCGTACTGTCTACCAAAAGCGACGGACGCTAACGCGAAATTCCGGTGTTGTCGCAAGAAGGTATGGCGAATGTTTAATCTTCATGCGTATGACCAATCGTATGAAACATTTTGGCTGATATTGAAGTTGTGGCAAGGATGACCAACTTACTAACCACGATCGCTCTGAAAATTTCAGACATTCAACGATGAACGGACCGCCAACGAAAATGCATACGCTGATACTACGATGCAACGCAAACGATCCCCTTCAACGCTAACGTATCTGGTGCAGTCTATGGTATTACGTAACGCGAGAAGTGTAAAGACATTCTGTGACAACTCCAGCGACAATGGCTGAAGTTACTTAACCGTGGTTGTGGCTGCTTCCTCATTAGCGGGGTGCGTCGGTGGCAGTAGTGCGTTTGTTTCGTTCTGAAATCCGTCTCCGAAGTTGACGTATTAGCGCTCGCCGTTGCTGCTACTGCTGGAATTGCGGCGTTGCCCACATCCTGGCGATTTCGAACTGGACGATGAAGATGTCTGGATTCTAATTACCTTTGCGTCGTAGAAGCCGGCTGGTTGTGCGAATTTTATCGGAAGAACGTTGCTTTATTTTGGCCATCGGCCGTTTTGCACGGGTTTCGAATCATGAACGGCAATGATGACGGAGTTATTGCAGACAGGCCGTTTTAAAATGATGAGCGTGAATTTGTCGATCGAGCATTTCAAATTTGTTATTAATTTTCGACTTCGGCGAGCATTGAATGGACTGTGATTACGAGTCATGGTTTTATGAAAACATCTATCACGGTTATTGGTGTTACTCGTCGGCGTTCGCTTGTCGAAAATGTTTGGAGATACCTCGGTACGCTTTCAGCATTATCGGCAGTAGCATGCGAAGTACTTTTGCTGGTTAAACGCGACTCAGTAAATCGCTGAAGCTTCACTTCGCTTCGTATTAGAACTGAATATTGCTGATGCATCGACGCGATATTATGGTTAAAGTGTGCGGTACGCTATTGGCGTGATGACTGGAAGGATTTCTGATCGGCATATTAATCATAAGTTCATAATGTACAATGATGCGACATCATCTTCTTAGTTGCTGTTACACCATACCTTCGAGCTACGGAAATCTCCCCATTTAACAATGGTTTACTATGCCACATAAAATCGCTGACATCACTGATGCTGCTATGGAAATCGAAGTGAACCAGTCGAGAATGCGAATGACGGTATGGCGAAGTCACGAACCTATCGCGATAGCGAATACTGTAGCGGTATACGTTTCCGATGCGCAACTAATTATTCCGATATTTACTTGCCGAGTTATGCGACGTGAACAATTAACGCTTTCTGGAATGTTTGGTTATTGCCGTCCGAAAGAAGAACGAACGTACGGATATCTGCGCTGCTAAGTTAGATATCGAGAACAGTTTCAAAATGGACTTCACGTATTGCAAACTGACGGAAGTGGCTTAGTGGTTTGTTGAACATAGCTCTCGCCATTACTTGTCGGGCTCACCAGGACGAAGTTACCACGAATGGGCTTTCTCACGATGTTTTAATAACATTTCGAAAACAATGACGAGACGATCGAAGTTCGCCGCTCTTCCAATGAAAGCAGTATTCGTCCATCGGTTGGTGACAGACCTGAAGGGTGAAAATAACAGATGAAACGGCGAACGAATTCGATTCCCCACGTGAACGATGATGACCTATACTGTTCCGTGTAGATATATTATATTAGCAATCAACAACAAAACCACTTTATGAAGTTGATTTCAACTTTAACGGTTGAAATAGATGCGCTGTTTATTTTGAAATAAAACCAGACAGGTACATATGTTATCTTTGTTTCAAATCTTACGATAACATCTGATCTGGAACTAAGATGATCTACATGTTGATAAACCATTAAGTCGCGTCGAAGATATGCGAATATTGCTATTATTACCCTTCGATTAACGATGATTAACTCAATAAACCTCGTAATACGTCTCATCGCCATGTCCTTGCGCCCGGTGTCGTTCAACGGAATCGGTGGTATCTGACTCGATAGATATGACACTAACCCGGACGATAACACTTCGCCGACATTCACGATGTCGGTACATCCCGAAAACAAGAGATTACTGGTATGTTGAAACATTTCGAAATCAAAACCGATTGATATCGATCGAACGACGGCGCGACGGAA